TGAATGGATTGACTGAATCACCGAGTATGATATTGATGGAAAGCGCGCATGACTTGCACACGGAACTGCAGATATAAGATAGTAATAAATACATACGAGCACGGTGAATAGATACAACGAGGATCACGGTTTGAGGGCCTTGTATTCCGCCTCGACAGCTCTGGACCGCTCGGATCGTTCGCGTTGAGTTGGTAGACTCTGCGGAGGATAAGCGAGTGCAGGATGAACAGAAAAAACGCTGACCTGAGTGAGTTCCCCGGTGACGGCGAATATCTGGCCCATAACCTCATCTGGGCAAATGAGTCCAGGCCGACGCGAGTACGGTGCGACTCACCATCGACGTCTACTCGCAGATCCTCGTCGTCGAGCAGCGACGGCTCATCCATGTCGGGGTCGGGGTCGGCGTCCAGACTCTCATGCTCCTTGACGAGCTCCTGCAGCGTGTGCTCGAGGGAAATGGGTTTGTCGCGGCGCTCGATGGCTATCTTGCGATGCCACTCCAAGCGGCTGCCGGCGAGGGCCCAGATCTTGCGGTCGAGGGCCTCGTCGAAGGGTTCGGCGTCCTGCTCGTGGGGCTGGAGGGAGTCAAAGTCGCGTCCGTTGATGCGGATATTAGCCTGCGCGATGGTGGACCATTGGTCCACGTACTGTTGCGAGTGAATATTGAACACGACGCGTTTAAAGACGGTACCTGCTGAGACTGCTGAAGCAGCTCGTCGCGGCGTCTAGCAGGGAGATTGTGCTGTTTCGCGTAGTCGTCGACCTTCTGGGTGACGGTGCGAGCAAATTCAGCCTTTATGCGGAGCCAGACGCGCATGTTTGGGAGGGAGATGCGGGGAAGCTCGTCGTGGTCCATGGCAGTCCGCAAGGAGCAAGGTAACGCGTCCACGTGAGCACGCGACTTGTTGACTTGGGCGGAGTTTGAAGAACGTGTGACGCGGTGTGACGCTCTTGAAGCTGACCTCGACCATGAAATCTTCTCGGCGCAAAAGTGCTGTATTGGACATTAGCATTCACGGCGACCAGCTCGAGCATGACCGCATACAACTCGAGCACAATCTGCAGCACACAGACCTCTCGCTGCATCTCTCTTCGCACGACGACGATACAGTCGAGTATCCCCGCCACAACTCGGCCCCCTCCGCGTTCCAGGACTACATCTCCTTCGACCACCGCTCAAGGGACAACTTTGACGCCGATATGCACAGCCAGCTCCATGCGTGGTCCTATCGTACCGGCGACGACGAGGACGGCATCGGTCCGTATAGCGGCGAGACCGTTTCTACCGCCGCACATCACGCCAGCATGCTCACTCTCAGTGCCGGCCTCGGGGGACGCGCCGGCCGCAGAGAAATCAGTCTTAGCGGGGCAGAGTACGACCCAGACCGACCCTTGAACAACATGATGGCCGCCGTCGACCCAAAGCTGAGCATGTTCGACATGGATCCTTCGCGGTCAAGATATGAGGTGGGTGTTTATTGCATTGTACTTGCAGCTCTGATGTGTTTATAGCCCGCATTCGACTCTTTACCCAGTCCTGGCCGGTTGGACCGCGTCCTGCAATCCGGCCACCAGCCACCCTCTTCCCGTTCCCGCTCAGTCCGCATCCGCTCCCCCCACTCCTCTGCCACCTCCTCCGCCTCCTCCGACTCTGACAGCCCGCGTCCCCGCCTCGCCGACGCCCTCCAACGCGTCTCCTTCTCCCCAAAACGGCCCCGCAGCCCGCACGCGCCGCACCACCCCAACCACCGCCACGCCCAAGTGCCCCCCTCCCCGTTGACCCGCGCCATCGACGACTCCAATTTTCCCACCCCCCGTCCAAACCGCCGCGGCACCCCCGCCCCCGCCCCCGCGTCGCACTCCCACTCCCAGTTCACCACCGCCGCCCGCGGCCTCACGCGCGATCTCGTCGAAGAGCAACAGCACGACCGCAACCCGTTCACCGACATCGCCAACCGCGTCGAGGCAGGCGATGCCACCCGCCGCAGCGCACATCACAGCAAGTCGCGCGTGTACCTCCCCGACGTGACGGGCCTCACCAGTGCCGTCGAGTCCCCTGCAAAGGCCGGGGGCGCGTACAACGGCTACCCCGCCGACGACCGTCCGCGCGACAGCGAGGGTGCGTCCGTCTCGTTTCATCCAAATTTATCATCTAACAGCACACAGCCCGGCTACTCTCGACGCTCTCGGTCGTGCAGACGCAGCTGCACCAGCTGGAGGAGGAAAACAGCATCTCGCGCCGGCGGGTGCGCGAGCTCGAGTATGAGCTCGAGGCCTGTAAGCGCGAGGTGGTCAGGGAGCGCACGCGGATCGAGGCGAGCGTGCACGAGGAGCACTCTACGCGCGCAGCAAAAGGCAAAGGCAAGGCGCCTGAGGCGGACCGTGACCGTGTCGAGGCGCAGGCGCAGGAGGACATCACCGAGCGGTATCGCGAGGTCGTCGAGGAAAAAAAGGGTGGGTGTCTCCCCGATTCTCTTCTTTCGGTGCTGATGGTCCCGTAGCGCTCGAGTCCCTAATATCGACGCTCAGATCGCATCTGACGCGCCTCACGTCCGAGCTGTCGTCGCACCAGGAGCTCCTGACGGAACTAAGGAAACTGCGCGAGCACGACAACCGGGCGCTGCGCGAGAAGGGCGCGGAGATCGACCGGCTGCGGCAGGAGGTCGAGCGCCTGGCGGGCGAGGTCGAGGTGCTGCGTGGCGTCGTGGAGGAGGGGCTGAGGGAGCGCCGCTCGGTGCGGGACGCGACGGTCGAGCAGTCTGCGGCGGACGTTGCGATGTCGGCGGACCTTGATCCGAGCGTGGACGAGGATGATGCGAGTGGGGAGGAGTTGGAGCTGGAGCGAGAGTTGGGGTTGGAGGAGGCGGAGAGAGAGAGAGAGGAGGAGCCGCTGGACGACCGCAGTTCGATCGAGATTGAGGATAGTGATTCGGACGACGACAACGATTCGGAGGCGGAGCCGTTCGACCCGGTGTCCATTATGGGCTCGTCGCGCGAGAACGTGGGTGGGGCCCCTGACCGCACGATGCGCACAGACCACGCCACGCGCGGGTCGTCTCTGAACCTCAATCCCAATCCCAATAACGCCTCGGGGCGGTTCCTTGCGGACGACGAGCTCGCGCGCATCGCGGCGGACGTCGAGGAGCGCAGGGCGAACCTGTCGGGGGCGGGGTCGGTGTCGAGCGGGTCGAGCTCGTACCGCGAACGCGAGCGTGCACGGGCGAGGCAGCAGCAGCAGCAGAATCGGAGAACGACGATGGAGGAGGTGTCGGATGCGGGGACGGAGGTTCCAGATCGTGTTCCGCAAGCGCAGGTGCAGAATCGCGCGCCGACGCCGACGGCGCGCGCGGGGCCGTCGCATCCTCGCCGTCACCCCCCTGCGCAAGTGCCGACGCCCTCTCGTGCGCGCAGCCAGCAGCAACAGAAACAGGAGACGACGACGCCGTTCCCGCAGATCCGCGGCGCGCACCTGGAGCAGCTGTTCTTCTCCGCCCCGGAACATAATGCGCGGACGTGCACGGTGTGTTGTCGACGGAGGGGCCCGGCGGTGGGGAGGGAGAGGGAAAGGGAGGAGTGGCTGCCGTCAAGGATGGAGAGGGATTTCAGGGCGAGGATGAGAGGGGCGGTTGAGTCGGGGTCGGAGGATGGGCACGACGGGGATGGGGAGAGCGCGGAGGTGGAGGAGCGGGAGGGGGATGCGAGCGCACGGTATCGCAAGCGTGAGGGGAAGCGGAGGGAGAAGGAGCGGGACAACGAACGAGACGTGAATTACGAGGCGGCCGCGCGCAAGGCGGGGTTGCCGCCGCAGACGCTCGTGGCGCGCGTAATTCGGGAGCTCGAGGATGATTTCACGCATTATAAAAGGTATTTATTTCGTTTGTCGTCAGTTTCGTGTTGCTGACGCTGGTGTTAGCGTGTACTGCGAGCTTGCAGACCAGTACAAAGAGATGGACGCGGTGTCTGATGTGCCGAAGCGGAATATGCTGGCGAAGCACCTCCGCGAGGTTGTGGATATTCTGGAGCAAAAGGTGCGTGTCCACATTCGCATTTAGGTCTTTACTAATTCTCGTTGTTTTGCAGGGCGACCAGATTGCATCGCTGTACGCCTGCCTGACGTTCAAGGATAAATCAATCTCGAAGCATCCTGGGGCGAGGAGATGATCTGACCCCGGGCATCTGTTCTCTTCATTCTTCATTTTATTTCTATCTAGTCTCATCCCTATCCAATCTCATCTCACATAGCCTAGCCTACCGCATCCATCCATCCATCCATCCATCTGTATATAAGTCACTACAACCATTTATCTCGGTTTCTTGGTTCCGACTCGGAGTATATAATTATTATATTCCACAATGTATCGTTTATCTACCCTACCCTACCGACATTTGATTTTCTTGTGTATATTTTGAATAGATAGAGAGAGTGGGGGGTTGTGGGTTCGTGCATGCTCGAGTGTTCTCAGAGTCTGGTACTTGAGAGAAAGCGGGGTGCCATGAATAATTTCCCAATTTGGTCGCTCATCCAACTCGCCCAGAATGGAAGGTCCGATCGGCCTGCTCCTTGGTAAGATAAGATGTTATGTGACTCGCCTCTGGACTTTATGAAAATCTCCAGGCGTCTTGGGTCGAATCACTTGTGTCAGTCTAAGCGTTTTAGTATATATTTTAGTATATATTTTGCGGGTAACCCATGCCAGAGACAGACTCGAGCCGGTGCGCCTCGCAAGTACTTACACCACTCTACGCATCAATTCCCGAAATTGCCTCTGTGCTCCGAGTGGGAGTTGGAACCAAGTTCGACTATGAACTCTCTTCGAATTGATGCGTGCGTGGAGCCGTTTGGTTTGAAAGATCTTTCGGCGTTTGCTTTTTCTGTTGGCCCAGTCGACTCTCGAACTCACTGCGCCTTTAAGTATATTTGAATTCTTTTTCTTTATCACAGTTCTTTTGTTTTGCTGCACGTCCCTATTCAGTGTTGACTCCGAGCCAAGCTTTGCATCGCATTAATGGGGTAGTGGTAACCTGGGTCGTTGCCATAAGTTCGCCATTGTATGCGTCGACCCGCCGGGGGTTCGATTCCCCCTTAATGCATGTCGTACTGAGCTTCAATTTTTGTCTTTTCCTTTTTTTTTTTCCTTCTGCTGTCTTTCCGTGCTTCAGCTGCGTCCGTCGACTTACTTATACTTCATCTCATCTCGTGCACTCCATTCCATTGGCCATATAGCGCGGATGCCACGCATTTCCGGTATTTATGCACTTCTTTACGAGAATTTTTGAACGGTTCCCAAATAAGACTTGCCAGCACTCTAGTGTCAACCGGGGCCCGCATCGGAGTAGGCCTACCACAGGTTTTCGGAGGATCCCACAATTGCGCAATTTCTAGTTTCGGGAAATCGGATTGAAATCTCGGTCCAAGTCCTGCTCACGAAGAATTTGCCTCCGTGGGGAATGTAATGGGAGGCTAATACCAACCCAGCTCCATTTTGGTACCTTCATTTTAACCAGGCAAGACCAAAATACAAATACCTGTCAGGAGGCTTTGAAGTGCAGAGCAAACATTCGACCTACGACCGACGAACGATCAAGGATGCATAAATAACGAGTGTATTCATTCCGATAACTAGAGAAAACAGGATTATGGGGAATGTACTTTGCGACATTAGGAACAGGTCCCAACACAATTCAACACAAATTTTCTAACTACGAGTCGTTCTTGTCAAAGCCGTCCTCGAACGCCGTAGCGAGGAACTGCTCAATCTCCTTCTTGTGCTGAGTCTGAGAAAGAAAAGGCATGTCAGCTTCGGCATACAAAGGTATTGAAAGAAAAAGAAACGCGACACTGACCTTGCTTCCGGTGGCGACCGAGCTCGTGGGTCCACGGCCGGCATAGAAGGGGTACTTGCCCTTGTGGTGCTCCGTCTTGTTGGCGGCGGTGTAGATGCGGGGCCCGACGTAGCTCCAGGCACCATTGTTCAGAGGCTCTTCCTGGCACCAGAGGAGGCTGGCGTTGGGGTACTTGTCAAGGTGCGGGTGAATCTACGAGGTGCCCTTAATTAGCGAGACAGTCGGAATAAATAAGAAGGTACACATACCAGGTCGTACGGGAAGGGCGAGATCTGCTCAATCCGGCTGATGGCGACGTCCTTGATACCGCGCTCTTCACGGGCCGCGAGGAGAGTGTGGTACACCTGGCCTATAAAACATAACGAAAAAAGAGTTAGTGGAGGGAGATCGATGAGCATCGAACGAACCAGCGCAAAGAATATGGCGCGTGATCTCTTCCGGAGCAACGAGAGATTCGGGGTGCGGCTCAGGGAGGTAGCGCTGGAAGTGGGTGTCGCCAATCATCTCAGAGAGCTCAGAGCGGGCCTTCGGGTGACGCAGGAGGTTCTTGGAGAAGAAGATGATCAACTGCAAAGAAATCAGTTTCACGCTGAATAGACATCTAGGACGAACGCACAGGCTTGCGGAAGTCACGGTGAATCTGGCGACGAAGGACGTGGAAGTAGTTGGCCGGGGTGCTAGGGATATTTTAGTAAACAAACAGCGCCGAGGGAAACAACGAAAAGCTCACGTCGGATACACAACCTGCATATTGCAATCCTGGTGCTGACGCTCGACCTTCTCCGGGGTGGGGAACACATTGGGATGGTCATCGCACAGCTGCAAGAACCGCTCAATCCGCCCGCTCGAATGCTCCGGGCCCTGGCCATCATACCCGTGCGGCAGACTCATCACCAACCCCGTGCGCTGCAGCCATTTGCGCTCCCCAGCCGCAATAAACTGATCGATAATGCACTGCGCATTGTTCGCAAAGTCGCCAAACTGCGCCTCCCACACCGTGAGCGAGTCGGGCGAGACGAGCGAGTACCCGAGCTCGAACCCGAGCGCGCCGAACTCGGACAGCGACGAGTTGCAGATGACGAAGCGCGCCTGGGACGAGCCGAGATCGTTGAGCGGGATGTACTGCTGCTCGTTGACCTGGTCGTGGATGACGGCGTGACGCTGCGAGAACGTGCCGCGCTCGACGTCCTGGCCCGACACGCGGACGTGGATCTTCTCGAGAGCGAGGGAGCCAAACGCGAGCGCCTCGGCGGTGGACCAGTCGATGTTCGTGCCCTCTTCCACGGTCTTTCCGCGTGTGGTGAGGATACGCGCGAGGTTGCGGTGCGGGGTGAAGCCGGTGGGATACGTCGAGATCGCCTTGCCGATGCGCTGGAGGGTCGCCTCGTCGGAACCAGTAGAACGGGTAGGCAGGGTCTCCTCGGCGAGCTTCTTGGGGGACGGGAAGCCTTGCCATGACGCGGAGAGCCACTCCTTGCTCGTAGGAACGTAGTCCTTCGAGGCCGCAGCAGCCTTCTCGAGCATGCCCCAGACCCACTTCTTGTGGTCCTCAATGTCCTTCTCCGTAAAGGTCCCGCGGCCGATCAAGAACTTGGCGTACTGGGTGAGCGGTGTCGGCTGCTTCTCGATGGCCTTGTACATCCGGGGCTGCGTGAAACTCGGCTGGTCGGTCTCGTTGTGTCCGTAGCGGCGGTAGCACACAATGTCGATCACGACGTCCTTTTTGAATTTAGCGCGGTAGTCGGCGGCGAGCTGGCAGACAAAGTTGACGGCCTCGACGTTGTCTCCGTTGACGTGGAAAATGGGCGAGTCGATGGACTTGGCAATGTCGGACGGGTAGGGCGTCGAGCGAGAGAAACGCGGGTCGGTGGTGAAACCGATCTGGTTGTTCACGATAAGGTGGATGGTGCCTCCGGTGCCGTAGTTCGGGAGATTGTGGAAGCCCATGGTCTCGTAGACGATACCCTGACCAGCGAAAGCGGCATCACCGTGGAGAAGGATACCAATTGCCGTGGTGTGGGTGGTCTCGTCCTGTTCAAAGTGCTGGATGGCACGAGTCTTGCCGAGAACGACGGGATCCTCGGCTTCCAAGTGTGACGGGTTGGCGACGAGCGAGAGCGAAACCTTCTTTCCGGAGGGTGTGGGCCGGACGTAGTTTGCGCCGAGATGGTATTTCACATCTCCAGCGGGGGAGTCGTCCGCAACTGTTCCAGAGAATTCGTTCAAAATGGCCTCGATGGGTTTCCGGATGACATTGCCCAAGACGTTCAGGCGACCACGATGAGGCATACCGATGGTGACGTGCTTTACACCGTGCTCGACCGAACGGTCAATGAGAGCCTTCATTCCGGGAATGAGAGCCTCGCAACCTTCAAGCCCAAAACGCTTCTCGTTGGGGTACTTGCTTGCGATGAATTTCTCGAAAGACTCTGACCAAATGATTCGGTCAAGAATCATGCGTTTCTCGTCGACTGTGTAATTCCAGGGCTTGGGGATTTCAACGCGCTCTCTTATCCAGTCGCACTGCTCCTTGTCAGGAATGTGAATATACTGAATTCCGACAGCACCACCTGGCAAGACGTCAGAACGAATTCCAGGAAGCATGGAAGGAAAATGCGTACAGTAGATCCGTTTGCAAAGTTTGATGATCTCCTGCAACGACATGGACTTTCTGTCTTCGCTGGCGAAATGCGGAAGGATACCGGGCCCAAGGGTAATTTGCTTGTCGAGGTCGCGCTCCGTAAAGCCATAGTGGCTCAACTCGAGTTCCGGAGGTCGTACATCAGCGAGGTCGGCATCCAAAAGACCCAAAGGATCCAAATCCGCGACATGATGACCGCGCACTTGGTATGCTCGGACCAGTAATTGCGCCTATAAAAAGAAGAAAGTCGCAAGTTGCAAAAAAACATCGAAAGGGCTTAAAACAAGGCAGCGGACCTTGAGATGGTCATCAAGTTCACCCCCACCGCCAGCGTGCAACGCCGGAGCGCCATCGGCCGGGACCGGGAAGTGACGAGGTGGCGGCTGGAACGCCTGGGGGCTTGGGAGACCCTTGTCGAGGCCAGAAAAATAGACATCCCAGGAGACATGCACCGACTTGGGGTCCTGCCGCCAATGTCTGTACATTTCCTCTGCGTAGTATGCATTTGTGCCGTTTGCAAACTGGTCATTCGGTGACGGCGGGACGGCGGTCGCCAGCTCACGCCTGGAGACGGCGGCCAGCGAACGCTGGAGTGGTGCTGACTGCCTCGCGGCAGCAGCAGGCAGACGCCTAAAGGCCTGCCTTGTGAACATGGTGGTGGTTGCAAGTAAGTTGGAGCAAATCTACGCGTCAAAGCTTATGCGACGGTGATGACCGTTGCTTGCCGAATCCTTCTTCCTTCTTCTCTTGCTGCGAGTTCAAGGATTTACTGCTTCTGCTCGCGGTATATCTCAATACTCTTTGTTCGACTCTGGACTCTCAACCTGCGCGTGCGCTGGCAGATCCTCGATCACCTTCGGAAGCAAAATTCTAAACCAACAAGACTTTGATGTCTCTGCCGACGCCTCACAGATTCCTCTGCAATATAGCACACCTATCGTGTGATACAACCGCTGGACCCGTTCTCTTCAATTGACTCTCAAAACTGTTGAACTTTATCTGCGCAGCAGATCGCTCCCGCAGCAAACATCATCTATACACCCGTCTCTTATGAGGAGACCCAGGAGATACTCGATAATGCGGCTACTGATCCATCCTCCACAGATTCACGAGGCCCTTTCATTGGTACGGTCACCTAGATTGCTAACCGACCGGGTACATCGGGAAAGCTGCGGTGGTCTCGGCCGAAGGACGCCGAGCTCATTAGTCTTACCCGGAACATACTGCGAGCGTGCAAGTTCTTTCTGAACTCGGATGATTCCCACATATAGTTTATCCCTCATTCTAGGCAGCTTGTTCTTTCCCGCCGCCAACTTCCACCCAATTCGTTCGAAGACGTGTTTCATTACCATGCATGATCCAACACACCACGTTGGACTGGGGAACGAAAATCTTGACCTTCAATACCTCATTTCGTACTGGAGGAAGACTCGAGTTTGACTAAATCGACTCCTGTATGCCAGCCTGTGTCTAATGCGCTGCCAGTGCCGAGTTAAGGTGTAACACCCGAATTAAGGTTTGACACCTTTATCGTTCGAGCGAAAACCATCAAGACTCCACCAAAGAATCTCACCGCTGTGCAATACAGACGAGCTCGCTGATCTTC